AATCTGACTTGGTCGACATGGATGATCTTCTTGATGATCTTCTGTATTTTGTTTGCCAGGATCTGATTGAGGATTTTTACATCTACGTTCATTGAGAGATTGGCCTGTAGTTCTCTTTTTTGGATGGGTCTTTCCCTGGTTTTGAAATCAAAGTAACACTCATTTCCAGGAATTAATTTGGAAATATTGCTTCCCTTTCACTTTCATTGAAAAGTTTAAAGAGGAGTGGCAATAGTTCTTCTCTAAATGTCTTGTAGAATTTGGCAGTGAAGCCATCAGGACCTGGGCTTTTCTTTGTTGGTAAATTTTTAATTATGTTTTCAATGTTGCTGATTGTAATTGGGGTGTTTAGAATTTTTGTATCTTCTTTGCTCAACTTTGTTAATTCATATGTATCTGGGATTCTTTCCATTTCTTCTGTTTTCCATTTTATTAGAGTACAGGTTCTCAAAGTAGGTATTGATGATCCTCTGGATTTCTCCCAGATTTGTTGTGACTTCACTTTTTTGATTCCTAATTTTATGAATTTGAGCCTTTTCTTTTATTTTTTGATAAGGTTGGCTAAGGGTTTATCAGTTTCATTTATTCTTTCAAAAACCCAACTCTTGAATTCATTGATTTTTTTGTATTGTTCTCTTAGTCTCCACTGTTTTAATTTCTGCTCTGATCTTTATAATTTCCTCCCTTGTATGAGCTTTGGGTTTTTCTTGCTCTTCTTTTTCTAGGAGCTCAAGATTCAGCATTAGGTTGTTTATTTGAGCTTGCTCTGTTTTCCTAGTGTGGGCATTCACTTCTATGAATTTCCCTTGTAGAACTGTTTTCATTGTGTCCCACAGATCCCTGTATGCTGTATTGGCATTATCATTTAATTGTTGACACTGTCTAATTTCTTCTTTAATTTACTCTGTGACCCACTGGTTAAGGAGAGAGTCCTTCAATATCCATGTGTTTGTGAAATTCTTATGGTTTCTTATGCTATTGATCTCCACTTTAATTGCACTATGGTCCAATAATATACATGGAATAACTTCAGTTTGCATTTACTTAAACATGTTCTATAAGCTAGTATGTGGTCTATTTTGGAGAATGACCTGTGTGCAGCCCTTGTCTCAAAATTTAAAAAATAAAATAAAAAGGTCTGAGAATGTAGCTTAGTGTGAAGACCCCAGGCCCATTCCCCAGTACAGGAAAAGGGAGAGGGGGAGAAGAGAGAGATGGGGGGAGGGATAAAAAGAGGAGCAAGAGAAAGAGAAGGAGGGCACCAGGAAGGAAAAAAGAAAAAAGGAGAAAAATGAATGAATTTCCGTTTTGAAGGTAAAATTCCCTCAATTGTGAACTGTAATCAAAATATACAGTGAATGTTTAAATTTTTAAAAAACATTACAGTAAAAGGTACATTCATCCCCTCAGAATATTCTCCCTTGCTTTGAATACACTGATCCCGTCATCCTTGACACTTTCTGAAGCACCCCTGGAAGTCTTTATGAGGTGTGATTAAAAAAATACAGTGAATGTCTAGTAATTAGAAGTTCCATTTGACCTAGCTATCCCCTGCTGGGTGTCTTCCAAAAGAATTAATAGAATCATACCACAGCAATATATAGTGACACAGTTTGTAATAGCTGAAACAGCCCAATTACTCATCAACTGGAGACTGGATAAACATGTGGCTGTTTTATAAAATGGAGTACTACTCAGCCACAAAGAATGAGAAACTAGAGACATTTATAACTAAATGGTTGCCCATTGAGGCCACCCTCTTAAGTAAAATAAATAGAACACACATGTAAATACTGAATAGTTTCTCTGGTGTTAAAAACTGAAAGTATAAACAAGGATCAAAATGTGTAATAGATAATGTGAAATAGGAAGAAGAGTTCCAAAGGGGCAGGGGTGGGAGAATGGAAAGAAGGGAAAGGAACAAATATGAGAAAAAGAAAAAAATGGAAACAAAGTCTCTGTAAATAGGGAGGGGTGGAGGGGTTGAAGTGAGGGCAGAAGAATGGGGGGAATAAGAACCAAGATGGATTATGTGAAGGTTCAAACTCCCAATGATGAATGTCATCATATTGTGTGCCTAAGATGTACCGATTAACTTAATGAAAAAAATACAGTGTATGTGATTGCCAGGCGCCATTCAACAGAAAGACAGACTCATAAAAATATTAGGTCATAAAACTAAAATTGAAATGTATCAAAGATCTAAATATGAAGCAGAAGCACTAAATCTGCTGGAAGAGAGAATAGGTAGAATTCTTGAAGACACAGATGTAAGCAAAGACTTTATGAACAAAACCCCAGTCACACAGGAAAGATCAAAGAATCAACAACTGGGATCTCATCTTATTAAAAAGCTTTTCAACAGCAAAAGAAGCCATTGAATGAACAGACAACCCACAGAATGAAGAAAAAGTTTTGCCAACTGTTCCTCAGGCAAAGGGCTATCACCTAGAATATATAAAGAACTCAAAAAAACTGAAAGACCCAATCCAAAATGGGCATCTGAAATGAGCAGACATTTCTCAGACAAAAAAAGTACAAACAGTAAATAAACATATGAAAAATGTTCAATATTACTAGTCATTAAGAGATGCAAATTAAAACAACACTGAGATTTTATCTCACTCCAGAAAGAATGGCTATCACCAGAAATCAACCAATAATAAGTGCTGGTGGGGCTGTGGAGAAAAAGGAACCCTTCTCCAGTTAGTTGGTGTGTGGACTGGTGCAACTACTGTGGAAATCAGTATCCTCCAAAATAAAACTAGAGATTCCCTTTGACCCAGCTATTTCTCTTCTTGGTATCTTCCCAAAAGAATTAAAAGCATTCTACTACAGTAATATATGCACATCCATGCTATGGTGGCACAGTGTGTAAATAGCTCAGTTTTAGAAACAGCTCAAATCCCTATCAACCAGTGAATGGATATAAAGATGTGGGGTTTTTTCTTTCATGCAATGGAGTATTACTTTGCCATAGAGAAGGATAAAAGTTTGAGACATTTCTAGGTAAATAGATGCACCTTGCGACCATACTCTTAGTGACATAAGTTGGACACACATGTTCAAGTATCACATGGTTTCTCTGGTGTGAGAAACTGAAAGTGTAAATAAGGACCAAAATGTATAATAGATATTGTGAAATAGGAAGAAAATGTTCAACTGGGAAGGAGAAATATGGAACAAGGAGAGGAAAGGGAAGAAAAGGAAAAGGAAAAGAAGAGGACAGAAGAAAAAAGGAAACAACCCTTTTGTAAATAAGCGGGGAGGAAGGATTAAAGGAAGGGGAGGGAAATAGGAAAAAAGAAGATACATCACATGCAGGTACAAGTTCCATATGATAAATGTTATTAAGTATATCTAAAGTGTTCCAACAAAATTAATTTTTAAAATATTGCAGTGGATCTTTGACCGCTTTGTTCACCACATCTGGCAGTGTTTGACTTCTGGCTCTTTCCCAAAGTCGCAATGTGAAAGATCAGTGTTTAAAATCAGTTCAGGGTATCAAAGCACCACAAAAATGCAACAAAAGACACCGACAAAAAGGACTTGCAGAACCGCTTTGGAAAGTGCAAGAATAATGGGATAAGTGTGTTCAGAGCACGAGGGAGTGTTCCGAGGAGAATTGATGGCAATGTATCTCTTGCTGTAATGAAATTATTTAAATGTAAACACTCACAGTATTTTCAATTACATCAGATACTACAATGAAAGCATTATCTGTAACTAAGCAGAGCACCTTAGAATCTCTGTTGTTTTCATTTTGCATCGGCTCATGGTGCTTAATGTACTAGATATGCTGCGAGCTTTTTGTTGTGGTTTTGTGGTGCTGTGGATCCAACCCAGGACCATGCACATACAGGCGAGCGCTCTACCACTAAGCTACTTCCTCAGCTTGTGAATTATCTTTAACGTGTAAATTGGAATTATCTATAACAAATGTATATGTATTTTATTTATTAGTAGATAGTTTTGTTCTCTTGAAAAACTATGTCAGAGAGTGGGAGTTGCCAGTTTCAAAATCCTTGAAAGTTTTTATCTACTTGTATGAAATTTTGTTTCCGAACTACTTTGTAATTTATATTGCTTCAAAACTATAAAACTCTCAAATGCTCAGAATGTTTTCAAAATGGAAAGTTCAAGGTACCCATCAAATTCTTTCCACTGAATGTATACACTATAATTTTTTTTTTTGCCTGAACACTTCTCACTACCAAAAATAGTGTTTGTTGTCAGGTATAACACAGGTCATTCGACTCAATTTGAATTGCAAATAAAAATCAGATAACTCTTCAATATGCAAATGTTTCAAAAATTGCACAAGAAATGGTTATACTAAAAAATAATACACTGAAATTATACAGGTTATACAAATAATAAAATTTAAATTTAACTGGCATCCTGTATTTTTATTCGCTAAATTAGGCAACCCTGCTCAAAGACATAAATCTTTGATAGTCCTTCTCGTCATCTACCGCCCTCACCACTTCCATCCCTTTTCTGATTTAAACCCTGTCTTCAAACAAATGGGAATATCGATCAATACTGAGAAACAAAACGTTAAACCAGTTGGTATCGAATAGGATTAAAATAGAATCCACTGGCCAGAAAAATAAGAAATTTAGACAACATTGATAAGAAAATTTAGACAATATCAATGATACATATTAAAACATGTTGGGCCAGGGATTGAGCTCAGTGGTTCTGCCTCCTGCCTTGCAAGTGCAGGGTCCTGAGTTCGATTCCTGGTACCACAAAAATGTTCATTTTAAGACATCTGCCATAATTGTGAATATATCTTGCACAACTAGAACACAGAATGCTTTGAGTGCTTAAACTACAAAAAAAAAATGTATCTTCTAAATTCTTAAAAGCCAGTTATTAGCTAGGGAGACCATGTCCTTATTTTGATTTTGTATTTGTACTAATTTGGTATAATTGTTTAAACTCACTTGATATTCTCTTCTCCTCTCTCTCTCTCTCTCTCACTGTCTGTTTAGCTACCTGAACAAGAATAAATACCTGACAGTTATTGACAAAGATGCATTTGGAGGAGTATACAGTGGACCGACCCTACTGTGAGTAAAACATAAAAAGGAGTGTTTTAGTGGGTTTTTTTTACTTACAGTACTTTTGGAATAGAAGAGGAATAAAGCAGAGAAGCTGATGTTCCAAGGTAGAGAAACAATGCTCTTGTCTTAGGTAAAAGCCTCTGTTAATATTTTCTGCCTGGCTGTTCAAAGTATTTCCTGGAAGAAGGTTCTTGTTCTTTGAGACTCAGAGGGCTCCAAACCCTAGCAGGTTCTCTGATCCCTGGTCAGGCAGCTGCCTTGGCATGGATGTTCATGGGGGTTTCTGTGTGTGGAGCAGTAACTGTTGGCAAAATTCTGAGACACTCAAATATTCTGAGACACTCAAATAAGCTCTAGTATTTGCAGAGAAAAATAAACGTGCATGTGTACTGCACAATGCCTGGCGAATATAAGTGATAGCTTGATTCATATTGAGAAGAAGATGGGACATATGCACATTTTAAAACAGCTGAAGACATTTATTGCATCAGTAATCAAGTTCTATCAATTGTTTCCCTCCAGCCTGTGTTTTGTTTCCTGTACGAAGGACTGAACCCACGGTCTTTACATTGAATTACATTCCAGCCCCTTTTATTTTTAATGAGAGACAGGATCTCACTAAGATGCCCAGACTGGGCTCAAAATGGCAGTCCTCCAGCCTCAGCCTCCCAGAGTGCTGGGGTTACAGGTGTGCACCATCACATCTGGCCCCTCCAGCCTCTATTAGGACCACTATCCTCTCCATCCTCTTGATTTTGCCCTAGTTGAGCTTCTAGCTCAGTCCTTGCCAAAATGTAACACAGCACCAGGATGCACAAAACCATTCTTTAGGGACAAAAAGAAATTATTTATATTTATGTTCTTAAATAAAAACAAATTAAGATGTATTAATATGTTGTATGCAAATGACCAGAGGCCCTCAGGTGTCAGATAGTGAATAGACACATCCCTGGAGAAGAGTGGATGATCCACAGTCCTCAGATGTTGACGCCTTCGTATTTCATCATTTTGTTTTTTTCTGGTACCGGGGATTGAACTCAGGTCTTTATGCTTGAAAGGCAGGCAGCAGAACCACTGAGCTAAATCCCCAGCCCAACACCTTCATATTTCACATTTAACAATTTTGTCTCATTTTTAGATTAAATGTACCCAGTTAGTTGATTTAGTTGGTTTGTGGCCTTATTCTCTTAAAAATTGCTGTACCAGGGCCAGGGATTTAGCTCAGTGGCACCGCACCTGCCTCACAAGCTCAAGGTCCTGTGCTCAATCTCTGGCACACACACACAAAAAATTGCTGTACCGCATGGGGAGTCACTAGTAACTTGTAACTTGTGTTATGTGTCAACTTTTACTGTGCTAAGGCTCCACTGGTATTTGTTTTGAACCTAGAAGTCATCTTTATCTGCATTTTCTGGGTTGTTTGTTTGGTACTGGGGAACAAACTCAGGACCTTGTGCTAGCGAGGGAGGCAGGGATGGTGCCACTGAGCAAAATGGCCCTTTACCTGCATTTTCAAGGTAAAGGTGATAGCTCAACAATGAATGAGAGAAATTATTGCTTTTCTAAAGAAATTCATACTGGAGAAACCTTTGAGAAACAGGTATTTTGAAACATTCATGCATTATGTGATTTTCCCGTTATTAATAGTGAATGCCATAAAAGTTCTTTTTTCAAAAATCAGAAATAGAACTTAACTTTTAAAATCCTTCAAATTAAGTTTGTATGTGCTGAATGGTGCTCCCCAACACATATCCCCAGTCGAATTAAAGTGTTGAAGCCTAAGGTTAGGGTAGAATGTCAATTTTGGCCGACTTTGGGATCCACGACGAACACTGACAGGGCACACTTCCAACTGGGTCATGTGGGCACGGCCATGGGGTGTGTGTCTGGCGCCTTGTCTCTTCCTCTCCAGCACTGTTCCACTGCTCTGCTTTGTGACTGTAGCTTCGCTCCTCAAAACACTTCTACAATAATGTCTCTGCCGTGGAGCCAGCCAATAATGAAATAAAACCATATGCAAATTAAACATCTCCTTTAAATTGTGGGTCTTGGGTATTGTGTCTCAGGGACGAGAAAGCTAGTGCCAGAGAAGCAGGGTTGCTGTTATGAGTATACCTAACCCAATGCATGGCAACCTCAAGGGTACAAAAGTGTCAACCTTTCACTTGGGAGGAGCATCCTTGGAATCCCCTGCTCAAGAACCTTGTAGAGAATTAGTTCCCTGGGATTCATTTTGCTGTGCTTAGCAATCCAGACACTCCAAAGCTGCTGCAGCCATGGTCCCAGGGCACCTGGCTATTGCTTCTGCTGGGAGCAGACCTTGGCATTGGCCATGTGATGCTCGTTTTACCACGATGCACAATGCAAGAGTTTTGGGGTCAGGGAGACATCCACCAATATTTCAAAGGAAGGCTTGCAAAGCCAGGAAATGAGCTCCCAAGGGAAGTTTGTGAAAGGGACGGAATGAAGCTAAAGTTGCAGTGGAGACCCAGGAAGTTGGAGATGTCCACAAATATGAAATTTCTGCCAAGGAAAGCTGTAAGGCATGAAGGGAACCAGCCAAGAGAGAGGCCGTGTGAGCTGCAATCAAAACCAGCATAGGACCAGGTGTGGTGGCGCACACCTGTAATCCCAGCACTCGGGAGGCTGAGGCAGGAGGATCGCTATGAGTTCGAGACCAGCCTGGACTACACAGTGAGTTCCAGGTCAGTCTCAACTACATAGCGAGACCCTGTCTCAAGAAAAAAAAAAAAAACAGCATAGGGATGGGTCTAATCAAGCCCCTAGGAACTTACATCTCACCTTCATGGGCCCCAAAGGCCAAATTAGGAGGTACTTGATTTAATGTTTGCCTGTTGGGTTTCAGTCTAACTTTGATCCAATTCATTTTTATCCCCCTAATCTTCGCTTTTAGAATAGGAATTTTACCTTGTGCCATTGTACCTTGGGTTTGGGTAATTTATTTTTCATTTTTAAAGAGATTCATAGCCAAGACTTTGCCTTGAGTCTCAGAATATACTTGGACTTTTGAAAAATGTTGAGACTCTTGAGAATTTGGGGAAGGGGTTACTGCATTTCCAGCTGTACTTGAGGTAGATATCGTATGTTAGGCAGAACTAAAAACTTGCTATTGTCTTTCTTTTGAGATTAAGTATAGTTTATGGAGATGTATTTCGGTAGCAAATTGACAAGGACTGGGATGTGTGGTAAGGGTGGAGTTTCGATTTGGTTGGATCCACTCAGGGGATCCACTCCAGGGGATTGGTAAAGCGCACTTCCAGGTATATCTGGGTGGGCCATAGAGGCATGACGTAGTGATCTATGTCTTTGTTCCCCACCCCTTCCACTCTGGCACTGATCCACTGCTTTTCTACTACCAGGAACTAAGCACTTTTGCCTTTTCACACCCTTCTGCCATGAGGATTCTGCCTTGGAGCCAACTGATCAAGTGTTGAAAACATGAGCAAATTAAACATCTCCTCCTGTACATTGAAGGTGTTGGATATTGTGTCTCAGTAATCAGAAAGCTGACTAATACAATGGCTTAATGTCTAGTACCCTAGAATGTGGCTCTATTCGGTGATAAAGTCTTTGAAGAGGTAATTCGATTAAAATAAGGTTAATAGGCGGACTCAAATCCAATCTGACTAGTGTTCTAAAAGAAGAGAACATTAGAACACACAGAGAGATACCAGGCAGGCAAATCTACGAGGAAAATCCATGTGAGGAGAAGGTAACCATATGCAAGCCAAGGAGAGAGGCTTCAGGAGAAACCAGTTTGCTAATGCCTTGATCTAAGAATTGCAACATCCAGAATATTTTTGTTGCTTAAGATGCTCAGTTGGTAGAAGTTTTTATGATAAACATTACGGTTTATAGATAGATATCTCCCATGACCCTCATGTGCTCATAGGATAATGGGATTATGATGGTTTATAGCTGATTTACTATTAGGAAATAAGGTCTAGCCTGGAGAGGTGAGTCACTGAGGCCTGGAAGGGTTTATCTCCCTCCCTCGTTCCTCCCTTAGTCTGTCCCTGCTTCCTGTTTGTCATACTGTGAGCAGTTTTTTGCAGCTCTCCTCCACCATTCCTCTCGGCCATGCCACCCTGCAGTGGAGCCAACCAACTATGGACTGAAACCATAACAAACTGGGAACCAAAATCAACCTCTCTTTTCTTAAATTGTGTCTCAGCAACAAAGAAGATAGCAAAGACAGTAACTCTAGAAAAGTACTAGAGAGTTTCAGTGGGTTTAAAATCCATGCATAGAAAGTGTGAACATGAAACGCCTTCAGATTAGTTTGTAAAAACAAATGATTGACATCAGACAATATGAGTTTTGATAAAAGCGTGTACTTAATTATTGAAATGCATTGAAAACTGAGAATCTTAATTTAATAAGTGTACTTTCAGAAAAAATAGAAGATTCTTTCTCAAACATGAGTTAAAAGCATAAATTCCCAGTTGCAAAGAGTAGATGTAATCATGTAAATAAGGGATTCAAGTCCTTGAAGACCAAGAGAGAGTACTTGCATGGATGGGGCCAATAATAAGCAAGCTAATTCAAATCACAAAATGTAGGAAAGATTCTTCAGCAAATCTTAAGTATTCTGCAGGTAGGGGAGTAGGTGACACTGAAGTTGGAAATCTTTTAAAAGTTCACTTGTTCTTCTAGATTGCCAGTCTCATCTTGAACAGTCAAGCAACCACTTTCTTACACACACTAGAAGAGGAGAGCTTTCAGTTAAAATGTCATCAAAAAGGCTTAAGGATAATAGGCACAGTGAGGTCTGAAGTGAGACACTGTTTTTGAAAAGAGGTTGCTATGAAAATGTATATTCTAGCACATAAGATCAACAACTCCCCATTCCAATCAACTCATAAAATATGGCACCAGGCAGGAGATCGGAATTTGGGAGTGGCTGACAAGCGCAAAGAAAAGGAAAAACCTACAGAAATGATCACTGATAGTCTTCTAAATTTGCTGCAGGAAAGCTCATTAGC